AACTCGCTTAATCATTCTCATTTATTTGTTGCAATTACACCTTTTTGTTTTTTATAAGAACCAGTAAAATTTTGCTCAGACTCAGTGTTTTTATTTTTTATCTGATTTTAGGCTCAAAATGTTCTTATTTTGTTCTTATGTTACACACTTTTCAAACATAAAAATTGTACAAACATTATACACTGTATTGGAATGTAGGTAAAGGTGGCCCTGGCAAAAATGGTCCCGAAGTAAAAGGCCGGCCCTAAAATAGCCACCGAAAAACGGTCTCAGTAAAAATGGCCCTAAATGACAGGTAGGTACACCTACTGTACTGCATTATAGAGGGTATTACATAGTCACACATACTGCGCATAAGGTAGATATAATTTTCTGGTTTTTCTAGTTTTTTAAAAATAAAAATCTTATTTGATATTAATTTTACCTCAGCCTCAATTTGTTCTTATTTTGTTCTTAATATTTAAGCAATTTCAGCCTCAGTGTTCTTATAAAATGTGTTCTTATTTAAAAAAAAATTGTATTTGGACGCACTCTGTCCTCTGAATTATTATTTTATCCTTCAGTTATTTTACTCTGGAATAGACACAATTAGTGGTAGACTTGGGAACTACATTTACATAAACTAAATGTTTGTATATGTCCTCATTATTTTGTGTCATTTTTAAATAAATATGATATGTTACCACAGCGTTGGTTTCCGTGCAATGAGTGGAAGAGAAGTTTGTAATGACAAGATTTGCACAACGAGGACAATGTGTATATAATTTTGTTCTAGCCGCGATACTCAGATGTCAACGGTAATGAGATTTACAGGCAATGCTTCTGTTTTCGGCACCTGGGTTTTCGCCTCGATACCTCCATGATGATACATGGAAACTCTTCAGATCAGTAACAGAAGCATGGACAGAAGTAATTGAATCATGTGATAGACAGGTCGTCAGATTTTGCAGGAAACTGAACATTACATTAAATCGCAATTCAACGTGCATTTATTAACTTTATCGCTGTAAAAAATCTTCCTCCACCACCCCATAACTCCCCCTTAGTTATTTATTTAACTGTTATATGTATTAGAATTTGAGTTCTTTTTCTTAGTAAGGTAACGGCATGGTCACCCAATATTTCACTTTTTGAGATATATTGTATGAAGTAATTAGGCCTATCTTGACTTTTCCATACCCCACATTACAGTACAACATGATTCAATATTATGATATTCCCTAATTATGCGAGGTAATAATTTACCATCTCAAATGTACTACCAATTTTGTGTCCTCTTTATTCGAATTTAAATGTATCGGTATCATTATTCGTTGATCCTATCATGGAGGTATCATATAACATTGGCAGGGTTATTAACTCAAGTGTTTTGGCTTCATTATCGTCCAGAGCTTGACCATGGTTTGACCTTGACGAAGTATTGTAGGCATTATAATGAAGGTATAAAAATATACCTTCATGATATAATTGTGCAGTCAGTTATGTTACGTCATTCTTAATTAAAATGTAATTTTACCAGGAATAATTTGTTTTTGCGTGTAAACCTGATGTCACAAAATACAAACTATTTTCATATTTGTATTTTAACTTTATAATCTGGTAGGTAATTTCAAGTCTTGGGCCGTATGCCAGCGGTTTGGGCGGGCCAGGGAGTCGCCTAGGGCCCCCGGTGGTCCAGTGGCAAAAGCCGGTGGATTAATGGGATTATATATCTTGATAAAAAGTGAAAAATTAAAAAATTTACGTTGCATGCTAATCATAGACCCGGCTATTTTGTGCAATCTCACATTAAATAATAATGATGATTTATCATTAATAATTAATATCTGAACTCATGTTAAATATTTTCCAACCATGAATTACGAAAGGAAAAAGTAAACAATCCCTCAAATCAACTCTATGTCCTTTTTTTTTCTGACTTGAAGTTCTGAGTATGCAGTACAACTATCATTATAAAGCATATCCTTTTTTTTTTATAAGAACCAGTAAATTTTTTTCCCAGGCCCAGTGTTCTTATTTTTTGGCCGATTTCAGACTCAAAATGTTCTTATTATTTTCTTATTTTTACACACTTTCCAAACAGAGTCAATTATTATTTTACAGTCAGTATAATTATTACAATGCTGTATTATAGAGGGTATTACATAGTAACACATACTGAAAATAAGGTACAGGTATATTTGTTGGTTTTCCATTTAAACAAACTAAAATCCTCATTTGACATTTTACCCTCAATTTGTTCTTATTTTGTTCTTAATTTTTGAGCGATTTCAGACTCAGTGTAATCGTAAAACGTCAAACGGTAGCCTATAGCCTAACCTTGGTTTACTACGTTATTCTTTGATTGTTTTTAGGCTGGGTTACTATTAGTGTATGGGTTACGGTACTATTCTAATGGTTTGTTACTATTACCATAGAGAAAATAAAACAGCTTATATACGGTACGAAATTGAAAATAGTAAGCCCTACTAATCACCCCACCATAGATTGTTGCGTCATCGATTCATAGAAATAAAAAAAAAATAAATTCTTGATTTAATTTTCGTAGGCCTAATCTTAAAAACACAGGTCCGCCACTCTTTTCTCCCTTGTCCGTAGCATTATATTTTTTATTTAATTTTAGCATTTTAAAAATACGGCGTACATCATTAACTGCCAATCTTCGAAAAGAAATGTGAAATCGTGGCATATAAGACGACGACGCCTGTTTTTTTTTTTCGATCGTAATTCGCTGTTTTAAGCCTCGGCATATACGAGAGTAATGGTACACTGTCTGCAATTCCCATACATAAAGCTATGCATAGGCCTATACTTATTTTTCGCATGCTAATTATTTGATTATGGTATATTTATGTATACTGAACATGTTTAAAAAATTGCTTTTTTAATTACATATAAATCTTGGAAAGAATCACATTCCTTCCTTTTTTTTAAAGTCTAATTTATTGTCGTTAAAAAAATCATAGCCCTTCTTAAAACTGTTACATTTTTCGGTTCGTTACGTTTATTTCATTCCGGGTATCTTAGTTAAGCCGGACGGGGATAACTCGCTTAAATCATTCTCATTTTTTTGTTGCAATATTTGGACGCACTCTATCCTCTGAATTATCATTTTATCCCTCCGTTATTTTACTCTGGAATAGACACAATCAGTGGTAAACTACATTTACATAACAATTTAATTAAATACTTTAAAGGTTAAACCCTTTGCTGTCTTGTTTGCGTGTTTTTTGGTTTACTTTTTTAATTTGATGTATGTCTGTAGATTAAACAATAGTATTATATTATAATTGCAGTAGTGTTTTTTAGTGAATTTTGAAAAATAACAACTTCATTGCATAATAGAAAAAAATGCGAAAAGTATATTTTGACTCCAGGTACAGTAAAGTCGAATACAGTATACTAAGAGATAAACAGTGATAAAGTAACAATAGACTGACATGGGTGCGGATACCGTCTTTTTACAAGATTAGCTAAGAACAAATGAAAGGCCACACAGTGCGCATTCAGTATGATTGACTCAAATATAGAGCCTAGTTAAAATAAAGGTAATCAACCAGTAGTTTAATTATTTTTCATTATTTTATTTAAATAAACATATAGAAGTTGTACAGCATATATAATGAACGCAGATGAAACACTGTTATTTAGGTCGACTGTTGGTAATTTGAAACGTGCTTTTTTGTTTCTGGAAACCCTAGAGGTTTCGGGATTCTAGCTTTCTCATTTGTATTTAATTGATTTTTAAGGATTAACATTTTTCCACACTACGTTCTCAGAATATTTATCGTAAAAGGTATTTCAATTGAATTATCCTCGTGAATCGTAGGCCCTCTTATATTTTGTAAAATCGAAAATACATATAAATATTATTAATGATTTATCTTAGTTTAATATTATCTGAACTCATGTTGTTTTCGAACCATGAATAACAAATGAAAATTAACTTCATATAATCACTCGAATCTACTCTCTTTCCATTTTAAAAATCAATCAAAAGTTTTTATTTTTCTCCCCTTCCCGACTTACGCTTCTGCGCAAGCACTACAACATACAAGGCCAATCAAGCATTAGGGCAGTTTTTTTTGTTTCTTTTATTGTAAATTGTGACTGTACTATTGTAAATAAAAGTACACCTACCTTTCAGTTTACAATCAAACAGGATTAGGTAGATAATGAGCACATAAACAGGAGAAACGAACTTATCACAGCTTGTAGACATGCTAACAAATATCTCTTAAAAAACTTGTATATAGGCCTATCACCCAACCAAACTCTAGTGCAATTTACGACCATTATAAAGTTTATCATTCATTGTCATTTAATCCTTTGTTAATTACTTAATGATCACAGTGTACCGCTGCCTTTCAACTACCGAATTTACTCTGCACATGCTCAGTCTCACAATTAATCTATCTGTGATAATCTTTAGTCATTAGACTATTTTACCTGAAGAGTGCTGCACCATGTATGTGTAGCACGAAACTAAATAGTAATAAATATGTCTAATCAAAGCTACTGTTGAACCTCTCATTTTTTGTCTTTAATTCGCTCTGGTTTCATTACCATCGAGCACTCTGCTGATAATATTTGCAACACGTTCAACCGTTTATATATATATATATATATATATATATATATATTATATATATATATAATTCAATTGACTAAAGATAGTTTTAAATTTGAAAAAAACATGAATTGCTTTTTAGCCTACACAATTGTCTTGACTCACTTTCAAAAGAAAAGCCAAAGTGAAACAAAAGTTGTGCAGATATTATATTAAACATTATAACGGCTCTTAATTATACATAAAAAGGAATAATTTTGTTTAGAATAGAAATATTTTGCATTTGAGTTAGTAACAAGATCTTATGGGTTTCACTCTTTCAAAGATTTTTAACGCGAAATTTACATTATGTTCACAATAAATTGAAATCGATAGAATAGTTACTGAGATAGGACTCAATAAGCAGTGTATTTCGACAGATATCACACCCATATCACACCCAAGGACGATACATTATTTATGTGAATCTCACCCTACAGTCATCCATGCATAACTATAGTAGCCAATCATCGTCTTTTGACGCTGTGTGTGTTTGGCGCTTTTTTGGATTTTAAACTGCCCGTTTGATTAAATCAGTTCTAGATTGTCTATCCTTCAGAACACACGCGAACATGTCGTCGAATATATATTTTCTAGTACAATGGATTGAAGAGGAAGATTCATGGGACGTTCTTCCATCGAGGTTTAGTGTTAAGAGTGTACAAAATCCATGCGCTTTAGTCGGGACTGTTTGTGACTTTTACTGGAAGAAAGGCGAAGAGTCATCACCATGTCATGTATTAGCATACGGTATGTAGTACACATTTATTGATAAAATATAAATTAAAAGCCTACGTATATAGGCGTACGTATAGGCCTATTATATATATATATATTTTTTATAGATTTTATATAATAAAATTATTATTATTATTGTCATCATTATTATTAATATTATTATTATTATTATTATTATTATTATTATTATTATTATTATTATTATTATATTATTATTATTATTATTGTAGAAAATGCTGTCTAAACGTTTTTGTCGGACACCATTCATAACTTAACGTCGACAAAATCATCATATGAAAAGATATTAAATTAAAGTCAACAATAGATTAGTTAACTAATGTTTTAGAATACATTCATAATCAAATACAAATATAAATAGGTCTATATCTTTAGATTAAAAACTAGCCTACATATATTTGATAGTGATTAACCAAGATAGGCCAAAAAATCGTTTGTTTGCCCTCATCAGCCCGCCCCTAACTCACTGAAAAAAAATACAGGCGGAAAAACAAAATAAAACCTTAAATAAAGGGTTTTTTAAGCTTTTTATTTACAAATTAGAAAACAAATGTGAGTGAATTTATCTTTATTTTTTGCCAGATGACCTACAAATTAGTCTAAAGTTGTTGTCTGATGTAAGATATTGCCATTCTAGGCCTCTGTGGGTTATTTTAATTTCATCTGATGAGTATTTAAAAAAAATAAATTAAAAAAAACAAAATTTTTTCACCCTCCTCTATTTATCATTTTTAAAAGAAGGGTCAACAAACAATTTATTTTATTTGGCCTTATTAAAAGATTTAATTGGTAAAAAGTTTGAATAGGCAAAATTAAACAATATTGAACATACCAAAAGTTACCTACTGTATTAAACAAACTTCATTTTACATTATTAAACCTTGATAATGATTTGGTATGTTTAACTCATTAGTTTGATTTAATTTGATAAGGCCGCTCTTTTCCCATATGCGCTAGAGGGCGTGTTATTACAGTAACACGCAGGTAGCCCGTCGCAGGGCTTGACAATAGACACAACTCTAGCGCATAACAACCGTGTTTTCCTTTTGTTAGTAATGACGTCATCACCACAAAATTGCTTTTGTAAATAAATGAGGTCATTTAAACTTGATCCACTTTTGATTTGTATACATACATAAAATTTTATTATAAAATAAAACACAGCAGTGTGGGCTAAAAACTTAATAACTTACTTAAAACTGATAAAAACTTAATAAAACTTAATAAAACTTATTTGGTTTAATGCCGCTCTTTTTCCACATGCGATAGAGGGCGTGTTATTATAGTAGCCTGTATCAGGGCTTGGCGATAGAACTAAGTCTAGTTTATTACGCATAATCACCGTGTTTTTCAGTTAGTTGTTGATGACGTCATCACTACCACAAATTGCATTCGTAGCATATTAAAAGAGGTAATTTATATTTAATCCACTTTTGATTTGTTGTGTTAGTGGTGTTAGATAATTACAAGTAAATGTGTTTACATTTAAGGAACTCAAAACGAAATGGAAAAAAAGAGATCCGAAGTGGCAAAGAAAGCTGAAGTAGAAGACAATGATGATGAAGCCACAACCTCCTTTGGAGTTGGTAGAAGACCAATCAAAAAGCCTGCTCGGCTTCAGAATAACCTAGAAACGTCCGATCAAGCCCCGGTATGATA